GCCAGCCTGGACTACGTAGCAAGACCCTGTCTAAAAGAGAAAAAAAAAAGCTTATAAAAATATTTTACTATAGATGGTATTTTATTAGTGACTTAAATGTAAATTTGTGTTGTAATCTTTTCCCCTTTTCTTCTTTTTTTTTTTTTTTTTTTTTGATCTGCTGCTGAAAAGAGGTTCCAGGTAATATTTTCTTTTCTGTGTTTACAAAGCCTAATTTTGTATTTTAGCATCTTTCTTGTTTATATTTAATGAGCTATCTTGGAGTCTGGGAACATGGCAGAACGGTAAGCAGCAGAGTAAATAGCTTATCTGAGAGAAACAGTCCAGATGCTGGAATACAGCCTTCTGGGGAAGACAAGAAGGAAAGAAGTGGGTCCCCTTGACCAGGAAGAAACTAAAGTGAGAATTGAAGCCCACAGAGAGAATAAAAGAAAAACTTAAACAGAAGGCTGTAGCTGGCGGCAATTTCACTGGAGCTGGAACCACCATGCCAGAAGTGCTGTTGGAACCTGGAGATGCATGGGCACGGTGAAGCTGATGGCTAGCAAGCCTGAAGGCCTTGGCGGGGAAGTGCAGTGGTGGAGGGGAGCAGCAGACCAGAGAACTGCACTGGTGGGCAGTGAGTGTGGGGGACTAAGTTCTCCCATGAGGTAGGTGATTGGCAGGGTGCCATTTTGGAGTTGGGCAGGATAAGCCTGGAGACAGTACTGCAACTGCCTTTGTTCAGTCACTCCTAGCTCGGAGCAGACTGGTGGAAATTGCTTGAACTGAATCCCACCTCTCTGCACAGTCCAATAGCCACTTGCTGAGGTTTCCCTAAAGCTATCCCTAACCAACCCCACCCTCCCGGTGCACACTAATGTGGTGAAGACTCCCTGTGGTTGACCAGCTCAAAGAGAGGGGCCAGCCTGCCCAACTCTGCTTTCACTCCAGTAGACACCAGCAGACTGGGGAAAGCAGCAAACAACAGAAACCCCTAGCCAACATACTTCAGAGTAATTATAATCAATACAGGAAGTGCTGGGGGCTCTGCTACCTACTTGTCCAGAAAAAAAGCAGGAACATGACAAGAGGAAGAAGCAAAAGGCAGTCTCTGATGTCCAACCCAAGCAATACTGGTGCAGGAGATGAAACACAGAAGAGATCGGAAGTTGCACACCTGCAGTTTTTGAAGCAACAGCAGTTGAAATAAAGAAACAGTGGCTGGGGATTTAGCTCAGCAGCATAAGCGCCTGCCTTGCAAGCAGGCAGTCGTGAGTTCGATCCCTGGTACCGATAAAAAGGAAAAAGACAAAAAAAAAAAGAAATAAACAATTCCATGAAGCTATAAAAGAACTTAAAACAGAAATACTATTACAGGTAAAAGAAGATACGAGAAACATAATAAAAGAATTGCTAAGCACCTTTCAAGAAGACACAGATGGAAAAATAGAGGAGCATAGAAAAAGGAGGGAAACTTTCAATGAAGAATATTTTTAAAATGTAGAACACATAAAATAGATTCAAAGAGATTACCAGGAAATTAAAAACTCCATTGAAAGCTGGCAAAACCGCTTGAAAGAAACTAAAGATAGACTATCAAACCTTGAAGACCGGTTTGTAGCTTGTGATTGCAAAAGGAAAGATCTCTTAAAATAACAAGGAATCAGGAAGTAACAATATAAGGCTAGAAGATGATAAGTGGATCTATAACTTAAAAATAAAAAATGTGAATGAAGAATTAGGGGTAAACACAGATGAAACACAAAGGCTATTTATAGAAATAATTAAAGAGAACTTTCCAAGCATAGTAAAAGGAAATGATATTCAGATATATGAGGCATACAGAACTCCAGCCAGTTATAACCAAAATAGATCTACACCCAGACATATAATAATCAAGATTCCAGAAATTACATGCAAGAACAGAATATTAAAAACTGCCAGAGAAAAGAAACAGATCACCTATAAAGGAAAACCCATCAGAATCACAGCAGACTTCTCAACACGAACCATCAAATCAAGAAGAGCTTGGAGTGAAGTGTTCCAAGTTCTGAAAGAAAATAACCTCCAACCCAGATTGATGTTCCCACAAAACTCTCTCTGAAAATTAATGGAGAAACTAAGATGCTTCCATGACAAAGAAAAAGTAAGGGAGTTCATGACCACCAAACCAACCCTACAAAAAATACTGAAGGATATTCTAGATAGAAAAAAAAGGACCATGGTTTCAGGAACAGTAGTAGAGGGGGCTCACTAAACGGGGAGCTTGCCCATCAACTGAAGATTGGCTAGAAAGCCATAACACTTTTATACAATGGAAGACAACTCAGCTATAAAGAAGAAAACCTTGAGGCTCTTGTAGGTAAATGGGTACAACTTGAGAGCATGCTCAGGGGTAAAAAGTTCAGATTCACTTAAGTGAATAGCAGGCTGCCTCCCTAATCTAAAAACTAAAGGAGTTGGTGGGATGCAAAATGTACAAAGCACCCTGTGAAAGTAAAAGGGGAGGAACTGTCTAAGAAGGGCAGTAGCCATTGTTAATCTTCTATCATGATTTGAAACCTTATTGTTTTCATCGTTCTGTTCAGTTTGGTTTTATTCTGTTCCAGTTTGTCTACTTGTACTAGATTTGATGGCATGGACAGCTATTCCAAAGATAGCAGGGTATATTATGGTAACCATTTTTAATTTCCTATTAACTTGATTTGAAGCCCTGTATTTCTTTCACTGTTTTGACTGATTTTATTCTATGAAGTTTTGATAGTATCATGTCTGAGGGTATAGGCAACTGCTTTGAAGACAATATGATTCATTATGATACCCATTCTGGTTTGACTATTATCTTCTTTTGAAGTCTTCTAATGTTTCCAGTGTTTCATTTTTATTGGCTTTGTTCTGTATTGTTTTGTTCAATTTTATTATACCTGATTATATGGGCAATTCTTTTGAAGATAGTAGGAGACATGGTAACCATTGTTGATCACCTTGTATTTTGTTTTCACATTGTGTAGTATGTCCATCCTTTTGTTTTGACTGACTCTATTTTGTTTTGTCACATTTGGTGTATTCTCTTCAAAATAAAAAAATTGGTTTAAATGAGCTATCTTACTTGGTGCTGTTTATCTGTGTTCATAGTTTTCTACATTTTTTCCCTTTAAAGTTAATATCCTGAAATGAGTTGCATCTTAATTATTGGGCATATACTACATAAGTAACTACTCTATTAAAACTTTATCCATTAATCTTGTATAACTTTATACAAGCTGTATAATTTTATTTTAAGTAGTAATATATGCTAGGTATATGATCCTTTAAAAAGTTAAAAATATGCTTGTTATATGGAGTTGCACAGATAAAAATTACTTGTGTATTATGTATTCGTGGAAGTAGGTAGAAGACACTAACACTGAGTAAAGTTACCAAAACAATTAACTTAGAATAAAAGCGCAAGTTTCTATCATTCTTTTCAATGGTCCTGTGAGAAACATTTTAATGTTAAATATAAATTCAGTTCTATTTTTATGTATGGACACTGAAAACATATGAAGTGGGGCTGGGGATTTAGCTCAGCGGCATAAGTGCCTGCTGCGCCTGCCTTGCAAGCAGGCAGTCGTGAGTTCGATCCCCGGTACTGATAAAAAAGAAAAAGACAAAAAAAAAAAAAAAAAAAAACATATGAAGTGTGAAACCAAAGTTAATGTGATAACTTGAAGTTATTTATATATTTAAGGACATTTACTTTTTATGACATCAGGCATGCTTATATATTTTACATATTGTTTAATAAAACAAATGAAAATCACATTTGTTTTATAGTGTACATTAAAGATAAAACACTTTTTAATAAATGTATAATAATTATACTGATTTTGAAATGTAAATATATTTTATGGTTTTAATTTTAGGAGACTTATTCATAACTGTTAAGAGTTTTACATAAAATTAATTTTTACCATTTCCTGATTTAGTTGTTAAAAATTAAATATTAACATTTAGAGGGAAGTTAATGTGTGATTGTTTTAGATTCAGATTTCAGATTTATTAAATATTTGAATAATGGTTATTCAAAATACAAACAACAAGCTAATGGATTTTTTAAAATGAAAGTATTACAGAGAAGTGCCTCCACATTTAAATGATCCTGAATGTGAACCTATATGCCTATTAGGAGATGAGATGTTATCTTCAGAAACAGATTCTGAAGAGAGGACTAGATCTGAGAACTACTGTCTAAGCAACATTGATAAATGTTTGGTAAACAAGGAGTTGTTGTAGACAATATTAACAGGAACTAGATTTTATAGAGTAATGCATGGTTTACAATGCTTTTTAACTATAGTATGTCTTCCTTGAGTAATTGTCTTATACTAATGCCACTAGCTAGGGACTTCAGGAAGCAGAGAAAGTACAGGGCATGAAGAACAGGAAATGAGTACAAATTTGAAACTCATGTGTAATTTATGTTGTCCACAGTGGAAATATTAACAAAATTGACTGTTGAGAAGAATGCATTTACACCTGCCATGTGCAGATAATGTTAGTTGCTTCAGAGAAATGATCCAGGTTTTATTTTTAGAGCATCAATCAAATTTTTGAATATGTCAAACATTTTTACATTTGTTTATAAATTTGTTCTATTTATATTGTGAAGCATGTACCAAAAAATTAAAATGAATAAAAGTTTCCATTATTTTCTACCATTTTGCATTAGAAACTATCAAGAGACTGTGCGTGGTGGCACACGCCTGTATCCCTAGCATTGGGAGGTTGAGACAGGAGGAATGCTTGGAGTTCAAGGGCAGTCTGAGCTACAAAGTGAGTTCAAGGCAAGCCTGAACTGCATAGTGAGATCCTGTCTCAAAAAGACAAAAAAAGAAAACAAAAACAAACCTATCAAGAGGTAGAGGGTACAGAGTAGTTCCCTTTGGGGAAGATGTGATCTCCCCAGAGGGCAGGTTTAGGAAGCCTGATGAAGAGCCCAGTGATGCACCCCTGTCCTCTGCCCACCTCTGTTTCAGGCCTCCAGTGAGCAGAGCTCCACCACAGCCAGAGAAACTTCAAACAAACAATGTTGGCAAGAAGAAGAGACCCATAGAGGTAAGAACACCCACTCCTCGGTGTCACTAAAATGCACCCGTAGTTCATTTTTATAAAACACCGAAGTTTTGTCATTAGTGTTCTTAGAATAAGTATATTGAGCAATTTGTTTGTTAAAATTGACTGCATAACTCTTACTCAACCACAGTTTTGGATTGTTATCTTCTGTTTCCCTTAATTTTTTAAATGTGTACTTCTTTTTACTTTTCCATAAGTAATACCCTCATTTTATTTGTAACTCAGAGAACTTCTAAATGTCAATATACGTGAATAAGCTGTTACTTAGAGAAGTGCAGGCCCCCTTGCAGTGTTTCATACATAGCAGGCTAAGTTTATAGGTTAAAAATTAAATACTTAAACCACATCCGCAACTTCTACCCTACATGATACATAATGTTTGAAGACTTTCTCCTCTGTCCTTCCTTCCAACCAAGAAACCTTCCCCAATAATTGAGAAGTAAGAAAATTTCTGCCTAGTATAGTGGTACATGCCTGTAACCACAGCTACTCAGAAGGCTGAGGCAAGAGGATTATAAATTCAAGACCAGCTTGGAAAACCTAATGAGACCCTGTTTCAAAATAAAAAATAAAATAAAGACCTGAGGATATAGTTCAGTGATAGAGGTGTTAGGGTATGAAGGAAGAAGAAGAGAAAAATGTTTCCTTGAGCATTTCGTAAATCCCAGCATCAACAACAAACAAGAAAAACATGCCAAATGAGGCAAGAACAAGGAGTCAAGCTACAGGAGAGCATTATAGCTTCCTCTCGCATCCATCCCCACAAAATCAATAAAAATAGACACTTCAAATGAGGATTCTCTGCCAGAGCTTCAGTATGGGTTCTCAGAAACAACTTTGGATTCTCCCAAGTACCTAAGTAGAACTGGACATAATTTAATCTGAATTATGTATGTAAAGCAAATATTTCAAGTAACAATGAACATAAATAGAAATTTTCTTCTTTTTGACACAGAAGTTATCTCAGTGATTAACATATTGAATCTTAAACCTAAAATTGTTAGCATCAGATGAACTTGTGATTCCCTTCTCCATTAACTTTATATAGAAAAGCATGGAAAGTGGAATCTTTCAGTTGCATAAAAGAAGTTACACACAAAAAAATCTGAAGCTTAATTTGTGTTTATAAAGTTTATAAAAACATCGAAAATCATCCTGCATTTTAAGGACAATAGCATTATATCACTGATCAGAACACTGGTGATCATTTAGACATGAGGAAAAGTATAATTGTGTAATGGTTTTACCCTTGTTGTTGTAGGACCTTGTATTGGAGCTTGTTTTTGGTTATCGAGGCAGAGACTGCAGGAATAACGTACACTATTTAAATGATGGTGATGATATAATTTATCACACTGCATCTGTTGGAATTCTTCACAATGTTGCTACAGGTAGGAAACACTAATTCTCCAGACTCCCATGCAGTTTTTAAATTATTTTTTAAATAGCATCTTAAAGCTCTTAGTTAAAATTATAATATTTAAATATGGTCCAGAATTTAAAGTACTTCATATTGCAGAACTTCTGGTAATGTCGGTCTTAAGAGAGTATGATATAGCAGAAAAGTATTTCATAATGGAAAGTGTTCACAGATCTCTATTAAAAGCAAAGACTTACTGTACATTAAAACCAAGTTTTATTGTAAAACCATTCATACCTTAAATTCTGTTTTCCCATAACCTCATGACAACGGATGGTTTGGGTGTTTTTCTCTGACGGTGAATCAGAGTTACACACAGATAAGTGATTACTGAGATGGAGGTTATTTTTACTGAGGTAAAACCAAGGAAGAAAGCTACTTATCTGAGGCTCTGGTAAGGATTCTTTGTTTGATAGAAGAAGATGAGAACAAATTTCTTGATGTCAGTTAATTGACTGCCTTGTTGCAAGGCAAATGAAGTTCTCTTAGAACCACTTGATAGTCAATATGATAATCGTAGCCATGTTATGATTTTAATTTAGAATTGTTTTATTACATATAGTTGCAAATTTCATGAAATCTGAAAGTTAAAACCAAAACCTGAGATGATCTCGACCAAACATTTCTGACTTTTCCTCTGATAGTTTTGCTTGGAATAAAGAGTAGATTGATTGTGTGAATTTTCCCTGATTAGTATTAATTGTTAGTATAGTCTGCCCATTAGCTTTCCTAAAAAAGAAAATTAACCAGGATTACGTGAAATCAGTGGTAATTTTCCACTTAATAATGTAGACCATTTAAAAAGCATTCCTTTGGGAAAAAAATCTTTGGTCAGCTTCATGTATCCTTCAAGAGAATAGAGAAGAGTAAAATAAGTCAAGCAAGAAAGGAATAAATATGTAAATAAACTGTTATGTTCATAGATGTAATGTCGTTTTGTTTTGTTTTTTGAGATAGGGTCTTGTTATGCATGTAGTCACCTCTTGCCTAAACCTCCCAAATCCTGGGATTACAAGTGTACGCCAGCTGTTTATTTGTGATGAATTACTTTTCTAATAATAGAGTATTAAAAGAGAGGTCAAAGAAAGAGCAGGCACTTGCTTCAGTTCTCAGTACTTGGTTTCTCACTGGTTTAGGGACACATTGCCATGTTCATAATAGGAAATCTTGTTCTTTTTTTTTTTTGTCTTTTTCCTTTTTATCGGTACCGGGGATCGAACTCACGACTGCCTGCTTGCAAGGCAGGCGCTTATGCCGCTGAGCTAAATCCCCAACCCCTTGTTCATTTATTTTTGAGACAAAGTCTATGTATGTTTCAGGCTGCCCTTGAACTTACTATAGAGCCAAGGTTGGCCTCAGATTTGAAGCAGTCCTTCTCCCTCAGCCTTGCCAGTGCTGAGAGTATGGCAGGAAATCTAAATCTGTTAATAATTTTCTACCAATTCATCCACCTACCCACAATTAGTCATTTATTCCTTTAACTGGACCAACTGTGTGCCCTGTAAAGTACGGAATACATTCCACTTTGAGAATTTTGAGAGTAATAGTAGACCTGTTAAATGTAGTTGAGAGGTTTGTTACTGTTGGGGTTTGTTTGTTAGTTTGTTGGTTTTGGTTTTGGTTTTTTTGGAAAGAAAGGGGAAGACTTGGTATCCATGATCCTGTGTAACTGGATCAAGCCTACTTTTCTGACTTCATTTCCTGTCTGGTCATTTATTTGCACAAGCCTAGTTTTATTCCCCATTTAATGCTCTTCAGTGTCAGTACTGCTAGATGAACCACATAAATGTTTTGATCAAAACACTTCATTGCCCCTTCACTGACTACAGAATTCATATGAAATATGCATAGATATGGCCCAGCTGTGAAGTGAGAAGATTTTCCCTAGTTTCTGTATGACTTCAGTGAATCTTTTTTTGGAAACCAAAACAGAAAGTTCATAGGGTAGTTCAAACTCTTCCATAATTGTAAACCCTACTTCCCTTTCAAGCATATTGCTTGCCTTTCTTTTTTTTCAAAACTTCCACTTCAGACAGAGGTATACCCAACACTTTCCTGCTTGTGTACCTTTGCTTAAAATGTTCTCTGCCTAGAATACCTGCCCTGCCTACCACTGTCCAGGTCACAGTACAGGAATGCTGTGTTCCCATGACAAGAATAATCTTTTCTGTGCCAAATTTTCATAAGATCTTTGCTCCTTAAATCTTTGTGGCACTTGGTAGGTTCAGCTTGTATTACACTGTTTTTCCCTTTCATGGCTCTGTCACTTTAAAACTTGTGATTCTTTTCTATCCTTGTAATGATGTGCCCAGAGTACGGGTTCAAAAAATATGCATTGAATAAGAAAGTGAGTAGTTTATTGCACTAACTAGTGCATTTGGCTGTCACATCTTAAAATTTTCAAACTCAGTTTTCAAATCCTTTCTTTTCAGGGACTCAGAGTTTTTATCAGGAGCATAATGATGATATTCTGTGCCTCACTGTAAATCAGCACCCCAAATTTATCAACATAGTGGCAACTGGCCAAGTAGGTATGTTTCTGTATTTTAAAAAGAAACAATTTGAAGCATTTGTTTTGTTAAAGTAAATTCAATATTATGGGGAAAATATTTATATATATGGATTTTTAAAAATTGATTTATGTGTAAAGTATACACCAGTTATAAAATTTGCTTCTAAATCTTTCTCTTACTTTACTTCTCTGAGTTAGTTTAGATTAAAATAAACTGTTATATAGTGGTTTAAATAGTTGGGATTAGTACTTTAAAGTTAGCCTCTGTTTGCATTAAATTATTTGAAAGTGAAATCTTGGTTCACTCAATAGAAGGGAGGAAGCCTGTTTCCTAAAGGAATAGAGACCACATTACCTATCTAAACACCTGGCTCTGTGCCTCTTAGATCAGAGTGAATTGCTCTGTAAATTTTTATCAAGCGAATTTATTTATTCATCACACTTACTGCACATCTGCCATGTGCAAGGCACTGATCTTGGTGTGGAGGATACAGTTTGTGATACGACAAAGTCCCTGTATGAGTGAAATTTACAGTCTATGGATAAATTTTTAAGAAGATACTCTTTCTTTACTTCTTTTCTTTCTCTTCTTCTTTGATTAAGCAGTTTTACTTAAGTCAGTGCTACAGTTTCCTTTCAGTTAAGAATTGTCATGGTAATAGATTAATCTCTCAGAAATTTGGCCCTTTTTCCACTTCTTTCCCTTTATTTTGAAAGGCATCAGTATAGAGAATATGGAACAGCTAATTATTTCCCCACTGTCTTTCCAAGGTAAACTCTAGCAGCACACAGGTGAATTTTAAAGCCTATATGTAACTCTGTGGTTTGCCATATTTATATCTTTCCACAAAATAGACAACAAAAATGCTTCACTGATGGCTAATTGAATGTAAGTTCCAAAGAAGAGCAGTGAACAAAGAGGTATATCTTTTCTTCTGAATGTAAAAAGAACTGATCACTAGTTACTTAGCTGCCAAACTTACTTAATATCCCCAAGGCACAAAACATTGGATGTTCATGTTAAAAATCATACAGATCATAGAGGAACTGAAATATTTGATTTTGTGATATTTTAGCCAGTTATATATACACTTTATTTTTTCTTCACTAGAATCTTGGAATCTCAGGGTCAGACATAACCATTTTCTCCAGTTCCTCAGTATATACTTGAAACCTACAACCATTTTATGCCTAATAAAGTAACCTAGCCTTTCCCTAATGAACTCACTTACAAAGTAATTCTTCATCTAGAACAAAAATCTGCCTCTCTGTGATTGTTACTTACTGGTCTCCAATCTTAAGTTGCCTGAAACATATAAACACTTATTGCTGACTTTATATCCTAGTTTTAGAGACAAATGTCATATTCCGAGTTTTATCTAGTACTTCGTTTTAGAAGACCCAAGTTAGACATCTGCCACCTGTAATCTGGGAGTGGGACATGAGAACAGATTACTTTCCATGAGGGAAACTGTATGGTACCATGTCTTGGATATTAGAAATTCCGAAATTATCTTCTGAGTGCTGACTCTGCTTGGGGCCCTGAGTCTTTCCTTAAAGTCCAGCTTCCTTGTAGCAGCCCACACAGCCCCAGTATGTACCCTGGGCGGGCTGCCAAGGGTAGCCAGTCATTGAAGTTTTCCAGTGAACTGCCTCAGCCTTCAGTGGATTCTCACTTTGTGCCGGGCCTTCCTGATCATTATAGGAATGTAGCCATCCAGATAAGAAAATAAAAAATATTTCATTTGTTAATTTTATCTTGATTGATAACTAAAATACTTAGGCCTGCAATGTTCATCTGTACTTATGTCCCAAACTTTGGTCAGGGACAGGCTTGATCTCTTTTATCAGCCAGCCTTCATGTGAATAAGTGCAAGTCCTCTTGCCATTTTGAAGTTATCTGAGTAGGTTCAGTACTAAAAGCAGTATTTCCCATGTGTTCTGTACAGCAGAGTCAAATGCTTTATTCTCTCTGCCTTCAAGTTGCAAGTCAAGACATTATGGGGCATATGTTATCATTAGGTCCTTGAAATCATTTCATATGGATATAAGGCTTGATCAGTGCAAAAAACAATCACCAATCTTGAGTGGATTCCTAAATTTTTAGTCTTTTTTTCTTGCAACTTACTTTTCCAAGTTTTGTTAACAAATATTTCCACCACGTATATGATAAATATATTCTTCTTGCTAAACTTTTATTTACATGGAAAATCTTTCCTTAAAAGAACTTTTTGCTTTTAACTTATACAGCAGCCTGTCATGTCTTTCAAGAGGGTTAGATCTAATTCTTCCCTGCAAATAGGGATGCACTGAGAGTCCAGAGGACCTATTTAGCAGTGAATTTTATACATCAAATTTAGAGTCATATCAGTTTAAATCTTATCAGTAAAATTTTAAAAGTTGTTATAGTTAAATTTTCATGGAACTAATTAAATACAGAGAAAATAAATTTTTATGCAGAGAAACATTAAAAGGTCAAGCATACAGTGTTGACATGTATACAATTAAATTTTACTCAGCATAGTAAAAGTAATTTCATGTTTTATTTAAATTACTTAAACTTTTATGATAATTAGGTTTGCAAATTTTCTGTTAATATTTATGTTACATATGGATAATTATTTTTCTACTGCTTTTCTATTATAGGTGATTCAGCAGACATGTCAGGTAAGGAAAAATCAAGTATCTGTGTTAGTTACATTGCTTGATAATGGTAGCCCAAATTTTTATAAAGTAATAAGATACTTAGGCATATCTTATTACTTGCATTTGAGTCTATTATTTTTCTTTAAAAAGCTTAACTTTTTAAAATGAAAAATATATTATTTAATGCCGATACTGAACTGAATCTGTAAAAATGTAGCTTTTTAAAAACTAATATATTACAACCTTTTTGGTGTACCCATATTCTAAGCACTTGACATATATTATTTCATTTAAACATCACAAGAATTCTTCATGATAATTAATGACTTACTATCATATAGCTGCAAAAGTAGAGGAAGATGGAGCTTGGGAGTCCTCTTACTGGTAGAGATCATGCATAGTATGTGAGAAACTGTGAGTTGACCCTCACCAAGGGGAGATTAAAATTTTAAATATAAATCAATAAATATAATTGTACACTTAAAATAATTTAATACAAATCCCTTGTTCTTGGTTAGGAAGAATAGGTGTAGTGAAAATAGCCACACTTCCAAAATTGTTTACAGATTTAATGCAATCTCCCTATCAAAATACCAATAGCATACCTCACAGAATTAGAGAAAACAATTCTAAAATTCATTTTGAACCAGAAGAGACCGAGAATAGCAAAAGCAATTCTGGGCAACAAAGGCAAGGTCAGAGGCAACATAATCCCTGACTTGAAATTATACTAAAAAGTTACTGTGATAAAAACACAGTGTGTGGTCCTGGCAAAAAAAAAAAAAAAAACAGACCCACAGATCAATAGAACAGATTAAAAGATGCAGGAACAACTCCAGATATACTTAGTCCACCTTATATTTGACAAAGGACCTGAATACCCTCACTGATAGAAAGCCTGTTTAATAAATGTTGCTGGAATAACTGGCTTTTTCCATATGTTGAAGATTAGTGCTAGGCTCATATCTTTCTCCATGCACTAAACTAAAATCAAAATGGATCAAAGATCCAAATATTAAAACAGAAATGCTAAATCTGCTGGAAGATAGAATAGATACAACTCTTGAACACACAGATGTAGGCAAAGACTTTATGAACAAAGCCCTGATTGCACAGGAAGTATCACAAAGAATCAACAATCAGAATCTCATCTTACTAAAAAGCTTTTTGCACAGCAAAAGAAATCACCAACAGAGTGAAGAGACAACACACAGTGGAAAAATTTTTACCAGTTCCTCAAAGAACTACTATCTACTGCACAGCAAGTGCAAGATCATGAGTTTGATTCCCAGTATGAAAAAAAAAACCATCTAGAATTTATAAAGACTTCAAAGCTAGGGATTTAGCTCAGCAGCATAAGTGCCTGCCTTGAAAGCACACAATTGTGATTTCGATCCCCAGTACCAAAAATAAAAACAAAAAAACAAAAAACAAGGCAAAAGAGTCTGATTGCTCCAATTGAAAGAGTGCAGCCTGACACCTTAGTGCATGATCCACACGTATACCTCACAATACAGGGTCTAAGTTGTAGATTTTATTAACGACTTAGGCTGCTTAAACAGAATCTGTGTCAGCTTCCTGGAGTACAACCACACTGAGTATTTGATTCTTCTTAGTGACTTATCCAGAAGATGTGTCCATTCTATAAAACAACCCCATCAAATTAGCAAGAATTTATATGTGGCTCTTGTAAGAATGGACAAAGCTAAAAGAATATATTGATTTATCAGAAAAAAAGAATTTCTGCAGTACAATCAATCAAATGTGAAAAATTCACAAAATCCAAAACCGTTTATAATTTTCTTTTTTCTGTTACTAAGGTGTTAGAGAGTACAACAAAGATGAGCAGCTAGAAAGCCTGTTCCAGTGGACTGCCTGGGTCTTTCAGTGACCATAATAGAGACTTCATTATGGTGTTGATGATGCATTTATGCATACAGTCCCAGACTCGCATATTTTGGATAGTATCTGTTTGAATGAAGATAAACAGGAAGTATTTATTAGTATTAGTAGGCATTTAATCTCATGTGACATAAAAATTTGAGCTGATGCTGATATGGTTCATTATGATTAAGAAGGTATTAATGCTATAGAAGAAACTCAGAACAGATTTTAATTGTTCTACAGAGACTATGACTATCAAGATGAATAGTACCTGCTCAGTTTGTAATAACTACAATTATGGGAGAGAACAGAAGGCATTCATCAACTCTCAGTCTACTGTCAGGCCCTGGCTATTATCAAAGAAAAGATTGAGGAAAAAGGAGGATGTGTTTAGTGTTAAGTTGGAGCCCAAAGTGGTCACACTGAACTTGAGAGGCAGCTGAAGACACTTAACAGAGAAAATGTAGAAGTAAATGGAGATGATAATATAGAAAACATGGAAGCCAAAGCTGAAAAGTAACTTTCTGGGAACCAGAGTCCAATTTGAGGAACACAAAGCAACCCTTTTGGCTATGAACCCTAGATTTGAAAGTTTTCCAATAGTACTGAAAGTGTCAAAGCTGATTTTTTTTTAATTTCCAAGGATGTTCTAGAACATTCAGATAGTAATAAAAAGTCAGAATCAAAGAACAGAATATTCAGAGCTCTTGGAAAATGCTAAAAAAAAAAAAAAAAAAAAAAAAAAACAAGACTCTTGGCCTACAGGAGGATGAGGAAGCACAGGCTAATAGCATAGAAAAGCTATTCACTGAAATTATAGCAGAAAATTCCACATCTGAGGAATGAGATAGACATCCAAATGTACTAGAGGCATTTAGAACTCCAAATACACATGTTCAAAAAACCTCTCCATGACATATCATAGTCAAATTGCCAAAACTTCAGAACAAAGAAAAAATATTAAAAGCTATTTCACATACCAGCTTACAATGAGGAATGTGAACATTGTAAACAATACATAGGTACTAACAGAAAAATTTTAAAAGCTGTTAGAAACACCACAACACTTACAATGGCAAATCTATCATAATATCGGCATGTTTCTCAGCAAAAACTATAAGGCCATGGGGACTTGAAATACACACACACACATACATTTGCTACCCTTGAATAATATATTCTGCAAGACTGTCAAACATCAAAGGAGAAATACCTTCCAAAATAAGTATGAACTAAACAAATTCATGACAATGAAGACAGCATTACAGAAACTACTTAGAAAACAATCACAAGCATAAAATCATAAGAAAAAAACAAATCTCATGGGGGGAATAGATAAATAAGAATCATGAATAAGTAAAACATTGGAAAAACACAAAATGGTAGGAATTAGTACATGCTTTTCGATAATAACACTTAATGTGATAGTCTTAATTCTCCAATTAAAAGTAGCAAGTCAAAAACAAAAATGACCCAACTGTATATTGCATGCAAGAAACACAGCTTGCCTAGAAAGACATACTTACCTGGTTAAAAAAGATACTTTAAACAGCTGGAATCTGAAAGTAAGCAGGAGTAAGCTATACTTGTATATGATAAAGTAGACATCAAATTAGAATTAGTGGGCCAGGAATTTAGCTCAGTGGCATAAGCACATCTCTGGCAAGTACAAGGTCATGAATTCTGTCTCTGATCCAATAAATAAATAAATAAATAAATTAGAATCCGTCAGAAGAGACAAAGCCATATTGGTAAAGGAAACTATTCTCCAAGACAAGGTAACAAGTGTAAATATATACACACTGAATGTTGGAGCACCCAGTTTCATAAAATAAACAGTACTTGACATGAAGGGATATATTAGAATCCAGTACAAGCATGGTGGATGATCACAGTAATATAGGCCATAAAGGAAATCTTAAAAGTACGAAGAAAAAACTGAAATAATCACGTCTCCTATGAGATACAATGGAATGAAATCAGAAATCAGGAAATAAATCATATAGTACACAAACACATGTTGATTAAAGTAATACACTTCTGAAAAGGCAAATGGGTCACTGAAGGAATCAGGAGAAAATTTTACATTCCTAGAGTCAAATAATAATGGAAACAAGGTAATAGAACCTGTGGGAGGAAATGAAAGCAATTCTAAGAAGGAAATATAATTAAAAGTGCCAACATTAGGAAAACAGAGTGATCCCAAATAGTGATACATCTCACAGTTCTGGTCTACCCATGACCTATCAAAATTGAACCAAAAGGATATGAAAGATCTAAGTAGATCAGTAACCAGCAGTAAGATTAAAACCATAACTTAAAAACTCTCCCAATAAAAAAACCAGGGCCCTATGTATACGGCGCCGCGGGCAACAAAAGACGTAACTGTGTTTGGATCAGCTCTCAATATTCATTGTGTACAGCGAAGCTGGATCTGACAAGATCCGCCACCCTCAAGTTTCTTCCTCTTCTGCCCGTTGGGGGCAGAAACACACACTTATATAGGATCTGAGTAACCAATCAATATGAAGCAGAAGTCGCATGCTGATAGGCCACAGTCACCGGTAGCTAGGTAGACACTCATTTTGGCAGGGTTGTTTGCGCGGCAACAGGGACCCGGAAGCAGGAAACGAGCGCCACCTTAGGGGAGCGGCTCGAGCAACCCCCAACACCTATGAATTTACTGCTGAAAAAATGCTCCTTAAGCTTTTCCATCTAATAAAAAGAGGAGGAACACTTCCAAATTTATTCTACAATGCCAAAACTAGATAAAGACATAAAAACAAAAATATAGACCAATATCCATAAAGAGCATAGTTGCAAAAATCCTCAATATTCTTTTTTACTAGTACATATTTGTGATCCATAATTAATGCACTCATCATGGGGAGTTAGTACGTGTACATATCACATGTTAATCCCTTTTACTTTCCCTTTCCCCCTCCCTTTTTCCTTTATCTCAAGATTCCTTCCCATCTGCAAAAGGTCTGCCTTCCTATTATCTAACCTCCACTTTGCTTCTTATAGTTTGAGTTTGTCATATAATATAAACCATGTGATATTTAACCTTTTGCATCTGATTTAGCATTATGGTCTCAAAGTGCATTCCTTTTCCTACAAATTATATAAATGTATCC